CAGCATAAGGTCAAGCAGATTCCTCACTGGCCTTGCAGACAACTTCATTGCCAGAAAGTGGGAGAAGCAAAGATGGCAGCTTTGCAGGACCCAGAGACAATTGGGAAACCCGGAGCAGGAGGAGGCTGGAGTAAGGCGAGCGCTCCCCTTCCGCTCCCGAGTCCCTTTCTGGGCACCCCACGCTCCCGAGTGAGACCCTGACGGAGGCTCCCCCCGGGCCGACTGCAGCCGAGCCTAAGAGAGGCGAGACTTCGGCTCCCAAGGTCTTATGTCACCATGCAGCACTATGGAGTGAATGGCTATTCTCTTCATGCCATGAATTCTCTGAGTGCCATGTATAATCTTCACCAACAGGCAGCACAGCAAGCTCAGCATGCCCCAGACTACAGGCCGTCTGTGCATGCTCTGACGCTGGCAGAGAGACTGGCTGGCTGTACGTTTCAAGACATCATTTTGGAGGCCCGTTATGGCTCCCAGCACCGCAAACAGAGGAGAAGCCGCACAGCTTTCACAGCCCAGCAGCTGGAAGCCCTGGAGAAAACTTTCCAGAAGACTCACTATCCAGATGTGGTGATGAGGGAGAGGTTGGCCATGTGTACCAATTTGCCAGAAGCCAGAGTTCAGGTTTGGTTTAAAAACAGGCGAGCCAAGTTCCGAAAGAAGCAGCGCAGTCTGCAAAAGGAGCAGCTGCAGAAGCAGAAGGACTCTGAAGCCAACCACAGTGAGGGCAAAGCAGACACTCCCGTCCTAGAAACACAGACTCCGGCTCCTGATGCAGACAAATCCATGAGCCTGCCCAGTGAAGTCAACGCAGAGCTCAACCTGACTCTCTCGGAGCAGTCGGCCAGCGAGTCGGCAGCTGAGGACCAGACAGACAGAGAGGAAGAATTCAAGATCTCACTGGAGGAGAACAAAGCAGAAAAGAGCCCCGGAGCCGAAAACAAGGCACTGAGCAGCAAGAGAGCAAGCCCAAAAGCAGATTCCCCCGTCAATGCCACGGCCACGCCATCTTCCAGTAGCAGCATGTCTCAGACACACTCCTATTCCTCCTCGCCCCTCAGCCTCTTCCGCCTGCAAGAGCAGTTCCGCCAGCACATGGCAGCCACAAACAACTTGGTCCATTACTCCTCCTTGAAATGGGGAGCCCTTCCACCATGCCTTATTTGGGCATGAATGTCAACATGGCACCCCTAAGCTCCCTGCACTGCCAGTCTTATTACCAGTCGCTCTCCCACGCCCAGCAGGTGTGGTCCTCTCCTATCCTGCAGGCTTCGTCCTCTCTTCCAAGCCTGAACAGTAAAACGACGAGTATTGAGAACCTTCGGCTGCGAGCAAAGCAACACGCTGCCTCTCTGGGCCTGGATACTTTACCAAACTGAGAGTCAGGCAGGGGGGTGGGAAATGGCAAGAACCCAACCAACAGATGACCCTAAGGAAGCGCGCCATGCCTTTGCCACTGAATGGGTTTGTCTTTAACACACGGCACAGCTCTTGGCTCTGTCCCACATCACGTTGCTCCCACCAGTCCTGGGGGAAATGTTGACCCAAGTCTCCTATAGCTCTGGTTTCCACGTCAGACGTTGCTATTGCCTGTTTCCATGGCCCATTTTAAAAATAATCATAACAACCCAGAGGAAGGAAAGATGTCTTAAAAATGTGAACTTGTCTTCAGAACTGTGAGTCAAACTATGTAATATTCAGAGAGATGCTTTAGATGGCGCTACGATAAATGTGATTGCTTTGTTTCTTTGCGGGACTGGGGAGCTTCATACTGTACATAGTTTATATGATGTTGAAAATGTTCCTTCACTTGTGTGTTAACGTCAGTGTTGCCTTATGCAGAATTGTGAAGCACCTCCCTTCCCTTTTCTTTTTACATTTATACTTAGATAGTAGATAGAATCAACTCTATAATAATAATTATAATAATAATACAAAAGCCAGCTGACCCAGGTGTGGTTTAACTGAAAGCTGTTCTGAGCCCCCAATGCCATGTTCTCCTTTAGTTCTTTTAAATTGCCCCATTTTATCAATATCAGGTGATGGTTGCAACTTTGTCCTGGTTAAAGCACTTCCAGTAGGACAGTATCCAATTTCTAGATGAGTTCTTCAAATGAATGAGAGGCATGAACACACTAGAATTTTTTGGATGAAGAGACATTTTCTGTCTGCTGAACTGTACACATTGACTGTGCCATTACAAGATTTTAGTGTGCCTGCGTGTAAACTTTGATACTAATTTGGACAATGGAGAGCAATTAAAATGTGTGAATGTGCCATCTTCCACTGTTTTTCTTTATCAGTTGCACATTGCAAATCTTTGATAAACAGAGTGAAGGGTTAAAGAGAGATTTAGCAAAATAATTAAAAATGACCCCCATGCCAAATTATTTCTGGCTTCAGATGAAAAACTTGAGGAGGACTGAGATCTTTAAAAGCAGAAAACAAATAAATCAAAATGCATTACTAATATCCATGATCTGGTTTACCTGCAGCAAATGACCACAGGGGCAATTCATATACTCCAGAGCTAAGCACTATGAAAGGATTTGATGTAAAGCTCAAACCGAAAGTGAAGGGGCTGAATACTTGCTTCCAGGCAATGCAAGAACACAATCCATGGCTAAAGAAACCTGGCAAGGTCCCTCAAGCTCAACCTGTGTCAATTACATGGGCCATGTGGATACTCCTAGGGAAAACATGGAATGTGAGATCCAGTCTTATGAGTCAGTTGCCTGCAGCTGATGCACATGTTATTCCTTAAATAAGAGTCACGGGGGAATGATTAATGGACTTCAATGTCTGTACACTAATGCGCAAAGCATGGGAAATAAACAAGATGAGCTTGAGCTCTTGGTACAGCAAACTAAATATGACATAACAGGCATCACTGAAACCTGGTGGGATAAGTCCCACGACTGGAATGTAATAATGGAGGGATACAATCTATTTCAGAGAAACAGACCAGACAAGAAAGGAGGAGGAGTGGCGTTATATGTCAGGGATGTGTATACCTGTGAAGAGATCCAAGATTTAGAAGCTCAAAGCCAAAGTGAGAGCATTTGGGTCAAAATTAAAGGAGAAAAGAATAACAGTGACCTCACTGTGGGAGTTTTCTATAGATCCCCAAGCCAAACGGAGGACATAGATGATGCCTTTCTGGAACAGATGGCCAAGCATGCAAAAGGAAGGGGGATAGTAGTAATGGGGGACTTCAATTACCTGGATATTTGTTGGATGTCAATCTCAGCCAACAGCATAAGGTCAAGCAGATTCCTCACTGGCCTTGCAGACAACTTCATTGCCAGAAAGTGGGAGAAGCAACAAGAGGAACAGCCATTTTAGATCTGGTCCTAACCAATGTTGATGACCTGGTTAGTGGGGTAGAAGTGGAAGGATCATTAGGCGCGAGTGATCATGCTCTTCTGAAGTTTACTATACAGCGGAAAGGAGCAGCCAAGCATACTAGGACTCAATTTCTTGACTTTAAGAAAGCCGACTTCATAAAACTTAGGGAAGTGCTGGGTGAGATCCCATGGACAGTAATACTAAAAGGAAAGGGAGTTCATGATGGCTGGGAGTTTGTTAAGAGGGAGATAGTAAAGCACAACTTCAGGCAATACCAATGAGACGGAAACATGGAAGGTGCCTAAAGAAGCCAGGGTGGCTATCTAAAGAACTTTTAACTGAGTTAAGATTAAAAAAGGATGTGTACAAAAAATGGAAAAGGGGGGAAACCACCAAAGAAGAAGAGTTTGGATTTGATATCCCGCTTTATCACTACCCGAAGGAGTCTCAAAGCGGCTAACATTCTCCTTTCCCTTCCTCCCCCACAACAAACACTCTGTGAGGTGAGTGGGGCTGAGAGACTTCAGAGAAGTGTGACTAGCCCAAGGTCACCCAGCAGCTGCATGTGCAGGAGCGGTGACACGAACCCGGTTCCCCAGATTACGAGTCTACCACTGTTAACCACTACACCACACTGGCACCAAAGAGGAATTCAAACAAATAGCCAGCACGTGTAAACACAAAGTCAGAAAAGCTAAAACACATAATGAACTCAGGCTTGCTAGAGAGGTTAAAAGCAACAAAAAAGGCTTTTATGGATATGTTCGTAGCAAAAGGAAGAACAAAGAAACAGTGGGGTCACTCAGAGGAGAAGATGGTGAAATGCAAACAGGGGACACAGAAAGGGCTGAACTCCTCAATGCCTTCTTTGCCTCAGTCTTCTCCGATAAAGAAAACAATGCCCGACCTGAAGAATTTGGAGCAAATGATTCAGCAGAGGAAACACAGCCCAGAATAACTAAGGAGATAGTACAAGAATACTTGGCTAGTTTAGATGTATTCAAGTCTCCAGGGCCAGATGAACTGCATCCAAGAGTATTAAAAGAACTGGCAGATGTAATCTCAGAACCACTGGCAGTCATCTTTGAGAATTCCTGGAGAACAGGCGAAGTCCCGGCAGACTGGAGGAGGGCAAATGTTGTCCCTATTTTCAAAAAGGGGAAAAGAGAGGACCCAAATAATTACCGCCCAGTCAGTCTGACATCAATACCAGGGAAGATTCTGGAGCAGATCATTAAGCAAACAGGCTGTGAGCACCTAGAAAGGAATGCTGTGATCACCAATAGTCAGCATGGATTTCTGAAAAATAAGTCATGTCAGACTAACCTGATCTCGTTTTTTGACAGAATTACAAGCCTGGTAGATGAAGGGAACGCAGTGGATGTAGCCTACCTTGATTTCAGCAAGGCATTTGACAAGGTGCCCCATGATATTCTTGTAAAGAAGCTGGTAAAATGCGGTCTTGACTATGCTACCACTCAGTGGATTTGTAACTGGCTGACTGACTGAACCCAAAGGGTGCTCATCAATGGTTCCTCTTCATCCTGGAGAAGAGTGACTAGTGGGGTGCCACAGGGTTCTGTCTTGGGCCCGGTCTTATTCAACATCTTTATCAATGACTTGGATGATGGACTCAAGGGCATCCTGATCAAATTTGCAGATGACACCAAACTGGGAGGGGTGGCTAACACCCCAGAGGACAGGATCACACTTCAAAACGACCTTGACAGATTAGAGAACTGGGCAAAAACAAACAAGATGAATTTTAACATGGAGAAATGTAAAGTATTGCATTTGGGCAAAAAAATGAGAGGCACAAATACAAGATGGGTGACACCTGGCTTGAGAGCAGTACATGTGAAAAGGATCTAGGAGTCTTGGTTGACCACAAACTTGACATGAGCCAACAGTGTGACGCGGCAGCTAAAAAAGCCAATGCAATTCTGGGCCTCATTAATAGGAGTATAGCATCTAGATCAAGGGAAGTAATAGTGCCACTATATTCTGCTCTGGTCAGACCTCACCTGGAGTACTGTGTCCAGTTCTGGGCACCACAGTTCAAGAAGGACACTGACAAACTGGAACGTGTCCAGAGGAGGGCAACCAAAATGGTCAAAGGCCTGGAAACGATGCCTTATGAGGAACGGCTAAGGGAGCTGGGCATGTTTAGCCTGGAGAAGAGGAGGTTAAGGGGTGATATGATAGCCATGTTCAAATATATAAAAGGATGTCACATAGAGGAGGGAGAAAGGTTGTTTTCCGCTGCTCCAGAGAAGCGGACACGGAGCAATGGATCCAAACTACAAGAAGGAAGATTCCACCTAAACATTAGGAAGAACTTCCTGACAGTAAGAGCTGTTCGACAGTGGAATTTGCTGCCAAGGAGTGTGGTGGAGTCTCCTTCTTTGGAGGTCTTTAAGCAGAGGCTTGACAACCATATGTCAGGAGTGCTCTGATGGTGTTTCCTGCTTGGCAGGGGGTTGGACTCGATGGCCCTTGTGGTCTCTTCCAACTCTATGATTCTATGATTCTATGATTCTAGTAGTGAATGTGCCATTCTCTGTCCTCCAGTCGGGGAAAAAAATACTTTTAAATAAAGCCAACAAACATAAGCAATATGTATGTACCTGTGCTAAGTAGTTCTGAAAACAAAAGAATGATGGGAAACATTCAGATTGGAAAGAAGAGCAAATAAGGCAAGATTGGAGCTCTGTCCTGCAGTCAAACAATTTGTGAGTTCCTTATCATTCATGCTCCTGGGAAAAAAAAGAGTATATTAGAGTACTTTCATGGGTAGCTCAGAAACTGGATTTTGTGCATCTCTA